GCTAATTGGGGTTTAGTCCAATTCTGTATCCTTCCCTTCAAGGCTCAGGGGTCCACGATTATCTTCTGTGTCTGTGTTAATTGGTTTCCCTTTTCTTTGTTGAAGAGGGTTCTTTTATATTTTAAAAGACTCACCCAGGTATGTAAGATTACTTTCGTCCTTTATAACATCTGGTGTAGTTTGAAGAAAATCTCACAAGGTTACTTTCAGTACTTAAGTGCTAACCAGCTTGTCCTTAGTATTTTATGAATTTTTCTAAGCTAGATTTTTCAGTTTTTTTCTGATCTCTTCATTATAAGAATTTGAAGGTTAATAATTATTAGAATATGCATAAGAAGAAAGCAAAAGGACAGGAAAGGAAGAAAAGACCAAAGTGGATGTCAGAAGAGACTCTTAAACCTGCTATTGAACAGAGAGTAGCTAAAGCAAATGGAAGAAATGACAAGTTAAAAGAGTTGAACAGAAGATTTCAAAGGGCAGCTGGAGAAGACAAAGTAAAGAAATGTGCAAAGACTTGGAATTAGAAATCCAGGTTGGCATTTCTCAAGCTGAAAGAACTGAAGAAAAAATTCAAACTTCAAGTTGCAGTATTGAAGGGCAAAATATTAAACAACACAGAAAGCATTAAAACAAGATGGAAGGAATGCACAGAGTCACTGTATGAAAAAGATTTATGTTCATCCAGTTCAGGAAATAGCATATGATCGAGAACCAATAGTATTGAAGGAAGTCCAGGCTGCACTGAAGGAACTGGTACAAAACCAGGCTCCAGGAATTGATGGAATATCCATTGAGATGTTTCAATAAACAGATGAAGAGCTGGAGTTACTCAATTGTTCATGCCAAGAAATTTGGAAAGCAGCTACCTGGCCAACCACTGGAAGAGATCCATATTTGACCATTCCAAACAAAGGTGATCCAACAGAATGTGGAAATTATCGAATAATATCATTAATAACACATGCAAGTAAAATTTTGCTGAAGATAATTCAAAAGTGGTTACAGCAGGCCTCTCACTGTCTTCAAAGTTATAGCCCTTGACTCATATTACAGCTCTTTTAGGAAGTTCACCTCAACAGAAACCCTGGGTCCAAACTGCTCCATTCCAGGCTTCATATATTGACAAGGAACTGCTAGAAATTCAAGACAGATTAAGAAGAGGATGTGGAATGAGGGATATTATTGCTGACATCAGATGGATCTTGGCTGAAAGCAAAGAATACCTGTGTTTTATTGACTATGCAAAGGTATTTGTGTGAATTGTAACAAATTATGGGTAACATTGTGAAAAATGGGAATTCAGAAGACTTAATTGTGCCCTTGAAGAACCTGTATGTAGACCAAGAGGCAATAGTTCAAACAGAACAAAGGAATACTGAATGGTTTAAAATAAGGAAAGGTGTGCATCAAGGTTGTATCCCATCACAATACTAACTCAGTTTGTATGCTGAGCAGGTAATCCAAGAAGCTGAACTGTATGAAGAAGAACATGGCATCAGGATTGGAGGAAACTCATTAACAACTTGTGATATACAGATGATACAACCGTGCTTGCCAAAAGTGAAGATGATTTGAAACACTTACTGGTGAAGATCAAATGCTAGCCATCAGTGTGGATTACACCTCAACATAAGGATAACAAAAGTCCTCACAACTGGGCCAATAAGCAACATCACAATAAGTGGAGAAAAGTTTGAAGTTGTCAGGGATTTCATTTTATTAGGATCCACAATCAATGCATATGGAAATCAGATGACATTGTACTGAGCAAATCTGCTGCAAAACACCTCTTTAAAGTGTTGAAGAGCAAAGATGTCAATTTGAAGGCTAAGGTGTGCCTGATCCAAGCCATGATATTTTCAATAGCCTCATATGTGAGAGCTGGACAATGAATAAGAAAGACCAATGAATAAGAAAGACCAAAGAATAACTGATGCATTTGAATTGTAGTGTTGGCAAAGAATACTGAAAATATGGCGGACTGCTAGAGGAATGAACAGAGCTGTCTTGGAAGAAGTACAGCTGGAATGCTCCTTAAAAGTGAGAGTGGCCAGACTTCATCTCACGTACTTTGATCATGTCAGAGGGACCATTTCCTGGAGAAGGATATCATGTTTAATAGAGAGTCAGCGAAGAAAGGGAAGACCCTTAATGGGGGGGATTGACACAATGGCTGCAACCATGGGCTCAAGAATAGTAAATATTGTGAAGATGACATAGAACTGGGTAGTGTTGTATTCTGTTGTAAATAGGGCTGCTATGAGTCAGAACTGATTCTATGGCACCTAACAACAGCAACATGCATATGTACTGTGATGAAATGAGTCCTTTTATGTTGGCTTTTCTTTGGACAACCAGCCCCAAAAGCCCCTCCCTCCCAAGTTATATTTGTCCTCCTTCTTTGGAAGTGCAACTTGGGATGGAGAGCTAGCAGGTGGTTTTCTAACTGATAGGATTTGTTACTTTTGCCCAGGGGATTCCCTAGGTTAATTGACTTGGGTAATCAAACTTGAGGATCTGATACTCTTATCTGGCCCTGGGCTACAGTCTGCCGTGTTATTAGTGCATTTTATCCACCTTAACTGGATTGATCAGTTTACTAGTAAGAAAGGTAAAACTGCCCAACAGTATTGAGCAACTTGTGGTCCACTGAGGCGATTGGTTGGTTCATGGTCCTGCCTTGAAATTGGCAAGGAGTTTGCTTACATAAGTGACCAACCCCACAGAGATTTTTAGAAGCAAGGAAGGAAAATGAAGACCCAGAAGAGCCTGGGATGGAGCAGTTTGGACCCAGGGTTTCTGTTGAGGTGAACTTCCTAAAAGAGCTGTAATATGACTCAAGGGCTATAACTTTGAAAACAGTGAGAGGCCTGAAAGGGGCCTAGCATCAGACCTAGTAGCAACAGGGCCAGAAATGACCTAGTGGCAGAACTGTGACAATGGTAGGAAGCTGCTGCTAGGAAAGAAGCAGCTGAGAAAGCTGTTGCACTGGCTATGAGCTGGGCCAATTAGCAGCAGAAAGGGTAATGACAGAGCAGCCAAAGGCAGAAGAGGCCTGCAAAGGCTGGAGGGGACCTGCACAGCTGAGAGGGCTAGTTTGCACAGCCAAAGGGGCCTGCTTACACGGCCAAGAGAGACTGCTTGCATGACTGAGAGGACCTGCTTACATGGCTGAGAACAGCTGAGAGACCTGTCCTGGTTGGAAGCTGTCCTGCACTGAAGAAGGAAGGGATGTGCATTCCACTTCAGGGGAGCCTTCCAGACCTTGTCCATGTGCCTCCTGATTCCAAGTTGTAGCCTGTTACTACCCTAATAAGCCATGTAAGTATGGTCTATGCTGTGGGAAATGCCTGGTGTCAGAAATGGTGAAGTTGGAGAGCAGAGTTTGTCTGACCTCTGATTTGTGCTGATTCTGATTCTTTTCCCTCATGAATTTAGATAGTTCCTTACATTCATATATTACATGCATTCAGTACTTTGCATACATCTGTAGGGAGTTCATGGACTTCTTAGCCCAGATTGAAAAACTTACAGATCCTGGACTGCTACTATCCTATATGTACCTTTGTGCTAATGAGACAAAGGTGCCCTTTCCTGAAGACACTTGACTGCCATCTGTTGGAAATTGATTATAATACACTAATTTGGTAGGTGTTTTCTTTTATCTACCAGAAAATTGTCCTAATAAATATGTAATATATGATATTCACCATGTGAATAGAGCCTCATTAGATGTGGTGCCTTTGTGTAGTACATAACTTGCACAGTCTTACATGGTGGCCCTGCCAGGGCCTCAGCTCCAGGTGCAGGAGAACATCTCAGAGAAAATGTTGGTGCTCAATGGGTGAAACTGGATGGGGAGTGAAGTCTGTGTTCCATTGACAGGTAGAGCTGAAAGGGTTGATATCTTCCAGGCTCCAGTCAGGACAGGGAACATCAGGTGATTTACTGACTTTGAGATGTAAAAGTTTTTGGGGAAGACAGGAATAAGGAACATGATATAAGGGTTGGAAAAATCCCTTTGTAGTTCAATGTAAAATATTCTAGGAGATACTTCTAGTTTTGATTAGCATTGTTTTCTATAAGCATAATAGAGGATTCATTGAATTATATTCCTTTTTTTTTTTTTTTCTTTTTCGTATTTTCTGCCTTACTTATAGCCTCGATCTGCCTGGTTAAATGTTCCTTTGCCCAGATCTGATATTGGGACAAAGAAAGATGTCGGCACACAGACTATTGGCCTGTTCTACCCATCCAGCAAGCTACTAGCAAAGAAAGAACAGGAACTGACTTCTCAAAAACAAAGGCGGGAGAAGATGAGTGACCACCAACCTCTCCTTACAGCCATCAGCCCAGGAAGAGGTGATGGGAAAGATGTGCTTTCTTTTCGTTGGGAGGAAGCTCACTGTTTTCTAAAACAAAACAAAAAACTTCTTCATTTTTTCTTCTTCTTTTTTTTTTTTTCCTATATGAAAAGTGAAGGAGCTCTGGTGGCATTGTGGTTAAAGCACTGGGCTGCTAACCAAAGGATTGGCTGTTGGAACCCACCAGCTGCTCTATAGGAAAAAGATGAGGCAGTCTGCTTCCATAAAGATTTACAGCCTTGGAAACCCTTTGGGGCTGTTCTACTCTGTCCTATAGGGTTGCTATAAGTCCAAATCAACTCAGTGACAATGGGTTTTATATGAAAAGTGGCTTCATTGTATTGTTCTTTTTTTCAAGTAATTTTTCTGTGTATGAATAATAGCTCTTTTTTAAGCTTCCAATGCTATGATCTTTTAACCCATAGTCCTGTTGTCTAGTTCATAAATTAAATAACACATACCAACTTCTTATATTATGGTAGAAATGTTGTTAGTCATTATTGCCATCTACCATATTTTTAAAAAAAATAGTTTATTTTACTTTTTTTATTGAGAGTATAGACAGCAGAACATACAGCAATTAAACAGTTTTGCACATGTACAATTCAGGCCATTATCTCTTAATGCACCATTAACCCTTTGCTCTGTTTTTCAAAGGTGCAAATGCCATAGTGTTCAATTTGCACCTGAGCAGATCGGAAACCTGCTCTTCTGTGGATGGGTGCAGCAGTCTGCGAATCACCATATTGGCACTGCCAAGTGCCGAGAACAATTTAGGCCCAAACAGAGCCAATAGAGCTATTAGCTCAATATATTTTGAAAAGTTTTTATTTTAGTAAATTCCAATTTATTGATTTTTTTTCTTTTACACTTTTTGTGTTGTATAACATGTTTAAGAAATCTGTGCCAAATCTAAGATCACTAAGATTTTATCCCTTGCTTTCTTCTATAAATTTTATATTTTAACTTTTATATTTAGTTTGTGATCTATTTCAAGTTAATTTTGTATGTGGTTTGGGCTAAGGATTTAGGTTCATTTTTTCTGCATGTGGCTATTTAATTGTTCTGGTACCATTCATTAAAAATATTATTCTTTCTCTCATTGAACTGCCTTGGCAGTTGACCATATCTATGTGGGTTAATTTGTTCTATTAATCCTTTAGTCTATTTTTACACCAATACTGCATTGGTTGATTATTGTAGCTTTCTAATATGTTTTGATATCAGGTAATGTAAGTTCTATTCTGTTCTCCTTTTCTGAAAGTTGTTTTGTTTTGGCTATTTCTAGGTCCTTTGTCTTTCCATATAAATTTGCAAATCTGCTTGTCAATTTCTTAAAAAAAAAAATTCTGAAATAAGCAGTGACATACATAACTCACTTCTTTTTATAGCTATGGCATTATGTGGTCTTTTTTTCTCCTTTTGTATCTTTTATTTATTTTTATTTTTGTAGTATTTCCTCCCCTCATTATGTGGTCTTGAAGGCATTTCTCAATCTTGTTGCAACAAACTCAAGAAATGGAGATGCAGAATAATACTATAGAGGGGAAAGGTGTATGCAAGGGTGGGCACAATGATGAAGCCAATTAACATTCAGTCCCTGTTAAGTCATTATGTTTTTGTCTTTTTAGAGAGCAAGTTTGGAGGGACTTTATATTTGAAAGCAAATGTTTAAAGGATGCTTCCATGGCATGATGAGGAACAGTGCTGTGAACACCCATTCATTCCTATTTCCATTCAGCACATTACTAATATCCACCATGTGGCAATAGATCCTGTAAACAAAATTGACATGATCTATGGCAGAGATTGCTATTTACCAACTCATTGTCCTTTCTCATCTGCTCCTTTACAAACAGAACCTGTTTTCATTTTGAGATACCTCTATGCCCACTAAAAATCACATTTCCCAACTTCACTTTCAGACGGAGGTGGTCATATGACATGATACATGAACAATATTCACTGGGGACGTTCTGGATGAATCCTCAAGGTGGCTGACATATCAGCCACATGCTCATTTTGTCTTCCCACTTTCTCTTTAATATATTTATACCTGGTGCATTGAACAAGCACAATTTGAAATATAGCTGTATGATTTGTTTGCCACTGACCTTGTGGGATAACCTTTTCTGGTTGGAGCTGTGGGTAGGCCCTGACTTTCTGCTCACTGCATAATAGAGTCCTACAGCCATTTTTATTGATAGCAAGGTGGTTCAGTGGCTTAATGTTACTAAGATGGCAGCACTTCCCAAATGTATCTACAAATTCAGTTCAATCCCTATCATAATCTGTGCTGGTTTCTTTGAAGAAATTGACAAGTTTGTCCTATAATTCATATGAAAACACAAGGGACCAAAAATACCCAAAATAATCTTGAAAATGGTATGTCTTTTCATTTATTTACATCTTCTTCAATTTCTTTAGACAATTTTATAGTTTTCAATGTGTAAAACTTGAGTACCTTTAATTAAATTTATTCCTAAGTATTTGATTTTTTGATGCTATCATAAGTGGAATTGTTTTCTTAATTTTAATTTTCAGATTGTTAATTGACAGTGTATAAAAATACAGTTGTTTTTTGTGTATTGATTTTCATTGAGCCCTACCTGTCCACAGGAGAAACTAGTTTAACACATTCTTCAGTGCCTTTCCTCCCTTTCCTGTCTCACTGTCTCTACTCCATCTTTTGGACTTCTTGGGATCACTTTTCAAATTATCACTGGCCCTAAGTCTTCTCTCAGGCTCTGCACTCTGGGGAACCCAAACTAAGGCACTTGGGCTCTTTTATTTAATCTCATAATAACATATTAAGTAGGAGGTATTAGTCTCATTTTATAGGTCAGGAGAGTAAGGTTTAGGGAGATTAAATGTCTGGCTCAAGTTCACTAAGCTAATAAGTGGAAGATTAACTGTGGATTTAAATGCAGATCTGTTTGAATTCCAGTTCACTTGCTCTTTCTGCTAAATCATGCTGGATGACCTTTAAAAAGTTACCAGCTTGCTCTCAAGTGTGTGCTGAGAGTGTGTTCATTGCTAAAATGATTAGATGTAGATTTTCAGACTCAAATGGTCGCAGGGCAGAGCAGGCAATTGAAGGCGGAAAGTTGCCCAGTGGAGGGCTGTGCCCTGTGCTAAGAGGGCAGCTCCTCCTCCAGCCCCACCAAGCTTGTCCAGGAAGACAGGCCACCTTTTGCAACTGTGCACAAGAAACTAGAAATCCAGACTTTCACGTGAGATCTTCCAAGTTTTAAGCTTGGCATCAGGTCAATTTTGACTCATGGCAACCCCATGAGTAGAACGTTCCATAGGATTTTCAAGCCTGTGGCCTTTTGGAAGTAGATTGCCAGGCCTGTCTTCTGAGGTGCCTCTGAATGGGTTCAAACTGCCAACATTTTGTCTGGTATTTGAGCTCTTAGCCATTTATGCCACCCAGGGACTCCAAGCTTAAAAGGGTAGCAAGTAATTCAGGTGTATTTAAAGCCTGTATGTATTGCATAGCAGTACAAGGGAATTTTTTTGGAGTGATAGAAATGTTCTATATGTTGTTAGGGGGTGATATTTACATAGGTGTATACATTTACCAAACCTCTAACTCTACATTTAAAACAGGTGCATTTTATTATGTAAGTTATTTCTCAATATGGTTGATTTAAAAAGAAAAGAAAAGAAACAAAACTCCATGTGGGGCAATCAACATATGTCCTTTTGAGATTCTTTGACCTTCTATGAGTATCATAACTGTTAGTTGCTGTTGAGTCAATTCTGACTCATGGTGACCCCATGTGTGCAGAGAACTGTGCTCCACAGGGTTTTCAATGCCGTGAGCTTTCAGAAGCAAATCGCCAGACCTGTCTTCTGAGGAGGCTCTGGGTGAGTTTGAACCACCAACCTCTTAGCTAGTAGTTGATGTTTAAGCATTCAAGTCACCCAGGAACCCCTTTTTCTGATTAGTTATATATGAAAAGAAGCTGGTAACAGCAATGAAATATGGCCCAGTACAGAGTTGGGGTTCAGGAAGTAAAATCATCACAAAACTTGGCAATGGAAAATAATCTCTCTGACAATACATGCTTTATTGCTGTCATTTTCTTAGCCACAGAAGAATTATCCACATAGCTGAATTCAGGTTTCTCTTCTTCCTTTAGGGTACTGGAGAAAACAATTGGATCACATTTCTGCTCACCTCAGGTCGTATGCTCAGAACAACCCTGAATTTCGGACCTTAATTGCAGAACCCAGGATGGGAAAGGTGGGAAACTCTGAGATGAAACATATACTTCAGAGTGTTTCTGTAGGATCAGGCTGAAGTGACCCTCCACAGGACTCTACCTAAAATTACATGCTTGCTTGCTTCTTTCTCTTTTCTGTACTGCTTTCCACATTTTCTTACAAGATTCCCCTGGGAGCATGCCACTGTCAATCTTGCTACAGGTTTGCTTCTGGAGCACTTGAAACTGAACTAAGATTCCGAATACCTCATGCTTAGATGGCATATACTAAGGAAATTCTGATGGTCAGAGCTAACAGGACCAGATGAATTTAGACCAGACAAATTGTATACTTAAATCATACACTACATTAACAGCAATAGTAATTCATTATGATTACCATTTAACAATGCACTCAATATCTGCATCGTATTCATCATTTCTTGCCCTTATAACAAACCTACAGGGTAGAAGTATTACCTTTGTGGCAGTTTGAAAAATGGCCACAAATTTGTTGATAGTCTTCCCTTCAAAAAGTAAAGTCTGTGTCCCCTCCCCTTGAATATGAGTGGGCCATGACCATTCAACTAATAGATTATAGCAGAAATGATGCTGTGTGACTTCCAAGGCTGGGTCATATAAGGTTATGTATCTTCTTCCTTAATTGTTCTCATGAGGAACCTGTACATTGACCAAGAGACCATCATTTGAACAGAATAAGGGTACAATACATGGTTTAAAGGAGCTCTGGTAGCCTAGTACTTAAGGCACTTGACTGCTAACCAGAAGGCTGGCGGTTCAAACCCACCAGTCACTCCTTGGAAGAAAGGTTGGGCAATGTACTTCCATAGTGATACTGCCTTGGAAACCCGAGGAGGGATCGCTATGAGTTGGGTCTGACTTGACAGCAAATAACAACAACAACAACATGGTTTAAAATCAGGAAGGGTATATGTCAGGGTTGTATCCTTTTCACCATACTTATTCAATCTGTATGCTGAGCAAATAATCTAAAACGTGGACTGTATATAGAAGAATGCTGCATCAAGATTGGAGGAAGAACCATTAACAACCTGTGATATGCAAATGACACAACCTTGCTTGCTGAAAGTGAAGATGACTTGAAGCACTTACTGATGAAGGTCAAAGATTATTGCTTTCAGTATGGATTACACTTCAACATAAAAAAAATGAATATCCTCACAACTGGACCAATAAGCAACATCATGATAAACAGAGAAAAGATTGAGGTTGTCGGGGATTTCATTTTCCTTGGATCCATAGTCAACACCCATGGAATCAGCAGTTGGGAAATTATATGTCATATCACACTGGGCAAATCTGCTGCAAAAGACCTCTTTAAAGTGCTAAAAGAGGAAAGGTGCACCTCACCCAAGCCATCGTATTTTCAGAAGCTTCATATGTGTGTGAAAGCTGAACAATGAATAAAGAAGACCAAAGAAGAGTTTATGCTTTTGAATTGTGTTTGAAAATACCATGGAAGACCAGAAGAATGAACAATCTGTTCTGGAAGAAGTGCAGCTAGTATGCTCCTTGGAAGCGAGAATAGCCAGACTTCATCCCACCTCTTTTGGTCATGTTGTCGGAAGGGACTATTTCCTGGAGAAGGATATTATGCTTGGTAAAGTGAGGGTCAGTGAAGAAGGGAAAGACCCTCAATGAGAGGGATTGACACAGTGGCTGCAGTCATGGCCTCAAGCATAGCAAGAATTGTGAGGATGGCTCAGGACCAGGCAGTGTTTCTTTCTGTTGTACATGGGGTTGCTATGAGTCGGAGCTGATTCGATGGCACCTAACAACAACAACAACAACAACAACAACAACATCTTCTTCCTGCTGGTACACTCATCTCTGGATGCTCCCTCTTGAGAAACTCTATCTTGGAACCCAATCATCTACTGTGAGAAGTGCAAGCCATACCGAGTGGCCACCCGTAGGTGCTACAGTCTGCTGCCCCAGCTGAAACTGGTCTTCAGTTCATCCCAGCTCAGATGTCAGGCAAAGAATGACAAAGCAAGATAATTTTCAGCCCCCAACATCAAGTTACCCTCTCACAATTTGTGTATTACCAGCTGAAACCTCACGCATGGGTGCAGAGAAAAGTCACCCTTCTCTGTCCTGTCTGAATCCATGAGTATAAGAAAGTGGGTGTTCTTTGATACCGCTAAGTTGGGAGTGTTTTTTTTCACATGGCAATAGATCATCAGAATAAGCCACATCTGACACCCAGGAAAACTGAGGCTTAGAGAAACTTGGTGACTTGCACAAAACTGCACTGCTAGGTCTTGGGGAATTCAGGATTTGAAGCCAAGTCTGTCAGACCCCAGACCCCACACCCTTTCTCTGGAATTACACCATCACTGTAAAGAGACAACCTTTGTGAGAGGGATTTTTTATCTGTTTTTTTGTGAGACTAGAAGGAACCTTTTAAACTCTGCCTGTCCACTCTTCTGCCACCAAGTAGGCCAACATGGAAGTTGTGTAATAGTCAGATATTGCTCAATTTCCTTTGCTAATCTATTTTTTTAAAAAAGAACAAAAAGCAAAAACCTTTTTAATTGTGATTTGGATGAAAGTTTACAGAGTAAATCAGATTAACATACATTTTGTTTTATGTCATTGACTGCAGTCCCCTCAATGTAACATCGCTCCTTCCACTTCCTCCCTATGTTTCTTGTTTCCTTTCCTCCTTTATCCTAACCCTTCCTGCTTTCTGAACTTTGCCCTTGGGCCAATGCTGCACTTTCTATCTCAACTATTTAATTGTTCTAAGGACTGTGTACCTTCCTGGAGTTATTGCTCACCTTGTAGACCTGTCTGTTGTTTGACTGAAAATTAAGCTATGGAGGTGAGTTCACTTCCAGGTGCAAAGGGCAAGCAAGAGCCATAGTCTTAGGGGTTGTGTCAATCTCTATGTGACCAATAAGCCTGGTCTTTTTTTTTTTTTTTTTAATGATTTTGAGTTTTGTTACACATTTTTCTCATTCTAACTAAGATCTAATATGATCCGTTTCGGAGCAGTCTAGTAGTAACTGGGCACTTGAGATCTTCTGGTCTCAGGATTGTGGGGGCTAGGGTTTGCATGTTCCTTTAGTCCTTTGGACTAATTGTTTCCATGTGTCTTTGATTTTCTTCATTTTTCTTTACTTTGAATGGGGATAGACCAATAGTTGCACCTTAGGTGGCCACTTGCAAGCTTTTAAGATCCCAGTTGCTACTCACCAAAGTAGGGTGTAGAACATTGTTTTTGTGAACTGTGTTGTGCTAGTTAATTTTGATGTCCCCTGAGACTATGGTCCTGAGTCACTAGGCCCAGTGACTCACTCCCTCAGGATTTTTGGTTATGGCTAAGAAGTTTTCATAACCTTGCCCACTGTGTGGTCTGTTATACTGATGGATATATTTGCAGCATATGTAAATAAACCAAACCAAACCACACCTACTACCACCTAGTTGAGTCTGACTCATAGCAATCCCCATTGTGTTTCCAAAGTGGTAAATCTTTTTTTTTTTTTTTT